CTGGGTTTCACCATGTTGGTCAGGCTGGTCTTGAACTCCCGACCTCAGATGATCCGCCCGCCTTGGCCTCCAAAGTGCTTTGATTACAGGCGTGAGCCACCACGCCCGGCCAAAGTGGATTTTTAAGAAGTAAAATTATTATACTACTTTTTTTCCAACTACAATGGTCAACCAAGTGTCAAAATAAAGGGATCAGAATCTAGTTTATTATTTATTTATTTTTGAGACAGAGTTTCACTCTTGTTGCCCAGGCTGGAGTGCAATGGCATGATTTTGGCTCATTGCAGACGTCTGCCTCCCCAGTTCAAGCGATTCTCCTGCCTTAGCCTCCAGAGTAGATGGAATTACAGGCCTGAGCCATCACGCCTAGCTAATTTTTGTATTTTCAGTAGAGACAGGGTTTCACCAAGTTGATCAGGCTGGTCTTGATTTCCTGACCTCATGATCCACCTGCCTTGGCCTGCCAAAGTGCTAGGATTACACGCATGAGCCACCACACCTGGCCAGAATCTAGTTTAAAGAGTTTATTCAAGCATTACGGTTGACCAGGAAGCACAGATTCCAAAGAAGTCAATGTTCTAAAATGTAGAAGTTTGGGCTGGTGTATATGGACTATGTTTAGGGAAGTTTAACAGAATCAGTATCTTTTTATGGTATGGTTTAGTGCTCAGATCTTGTTAGTTGAGATGATTGTTTTCTTTTCGGGAAGGTGTATTTTACATTCCACACTGAAGATGATTCTTTTGGGGAAGGTATATTTTACATTCCACACTAATAAGCCATGAAGTTCTTTGGAAGTCATATAGCCTGAGTTAGGTATAGGAAAATAAGACAGTTAATCTATAACAGAGGTCAGTGATGGAAGCAGGAAGATCTGATCTCTGGTGTCTCCTCCTCATATACAGCACAAGAGCAGTGAGGAAGAGGGTTACTCTCTAATCTAGAAGCAGAATTGCAAACATACTACCTGACTGGGTCTCCAGGGCTTAACTTCACTCTTGGCATAAGTCTGGATAGTGCTAAGGTTTTATTCTTTTACACAGAAACCAATCGTATTTCTTTATATTTTTAGGAGTGGAGGGTTGACTGTTTTTCTCACTGATACATTAAAATTCCCTCATCATTTCTGAGCAGATGACTCTCCTTTGGAGGAAACTGGCAGTAGTGAATGCCAGGCATTGGGGCCAAACTGTCACAGGAAAGGTGTGCTGTGGATGTTAGTGTGAACCATATTGTAGGGCTAAACTCCTGCCAAGGACTCAGACCTATAGGAGAATGATGCCAGGATTAAAGGTTTTAAGAATGAGATGAAGGAAAGCAAAATTCCCTTTTGTTTGTGTTCTAAGTCATGACGTTCTTTTCCTGATTTGTCGTTAATTTCCATTTGTATTCTAATATCCTAGTCTCAGCTTTCTTCCATACATTTTTTTTTTTTGAGATGGAGTCCCCCTCTATCGCCAGGCTGGTGTGCAGTGGTGTGATCCCGGCTCACTGCAACTTCCGTTTTCTGGTTTCAAGCAATTCTCCTGCCTTAGCCTCCCGAGTAGCTGGAACTATAGGCACACACCACCATGCCTGGCTAATTGTTTTTGTAGTTTTAGAAGATGGGGTTTTACCATGTTGGCCAGGATGGTCTCGATTTCTTGACCTTGTGATCTGCCCTCCTCGGCCTCCCAAAGTGCTGGGATTACTGGCGTGAGCCATCGTGCCTGGCCTAGTTGTTTTCCTTTCTAGTGTTTTTGGATCAGATGCCTGAGTAGTAGTGTGCATGAGTATGTGTGTAAATGCCCCTGTGTCTGTGTGTAGCTCAAACAGTTGGACACTTAGTAACGGGAGCGATGCTTTTCAATTTAAAGCTTGCAGTCCTCGGAGCCTGCCTTTGTCACGGGCCTGGAGGGAGCCCCTGTTCTTGTGCCAGAATGGCAGCGTCCACTCGGAAACTGCTTCTTCAGCTCAAACTAGAGGTATTGCATTATCGCAACAACAAAAGCTTTAGTTTTGTTTCTCTACTGATAGTGGAATAAATGGACATATCTGCAATAATTAACTTCATTTTAGTAGTTATTGACTATGGAACTTACATTTAGTTTTTACGTGATAGTATTAACTTATAAACTAGATTTTGTTTACCTGGTTCAAAAATGCAAATATTAATAGTACTTGGGGCAGGGTGCAATGGCTCACGCCTGTAATCCCAGCACTTTGGGAAGCTAAGGCGGGTGGATCACCTGAGGTCAGGAGTTTGAGACCAGCCTGGCCAACAAGGTGAAACCATGTCTCTAATAAAAATACAAAAAATTATCCGGATATGGTGGCAGATGTAATCCCAGCTACTTGGGAGGCCAAGGCAGGAGAATCACTTGAACCTGGGAGGCAGAGGTTGCTGTGAGCTGAGATTATGCCACTGCACTCCAGCCTGGGCAACAAGAGCGAAACTCCATCTCCAAATAGTGTTTGGCGTGATATTTGAAGCCACCTAAATTCATCTGCTTAAGTTTATAATTAATATTCCTAAAACTTACATTGTTCTCATCTATACATGTCCCTAAAATTACTACATAATAGAAGGAAAAGGTACATTTATGCTTAAAATCACTAGGATTAGCAACACCGATTCATGGAGAGATAAGCATGGAATGTATTTGAACAGCAGCAAGTACAGTGAAAGGAACCTTTGTACCAGCCAGACCTAGGTTTGCATCTTTGTGCCACCATTTACTAGCTCTGTGGCTTTGGACAGGATGCTCTCAGGTTTCCTACTATATTAAGTGGAGGGTAATAACTACTTTGGATTGTTGTTATGAGAATAGAGGAAATAGACAGGCAATGTTTAGCATAGTGCCATGAACATGCCAGACATTTAATTAAACAATAGCTGCCATTATGTTTGGTCTTCACTTACAAATATAGTAATACATGGACCATAATTCTAAAATGTTTTACCTTTATTGAAGGTATGGAATTTAAAGTCCTTAGGTGTGGTAAACCACCATGGCACATGTTTACCTAGGTAACAAACCTGCATCCTGCACATGTATCCTAGAACTTAGAATAAAATAGAACAAAATTAAATGTTAAAAAATAAAGTCTTTACAGTATATAGGAAAGCCAACAGTTGGACAGTAGCCATTCATTAAGAAAAACATGAGGGGTAATGTTTACACCTGTAATCCCAGCACTTTGGGAGGTTGAGGTGGGAGAATCACTTGAGCCTAAGACGTCACGACTACAGTGAGCCATGTTCACGCCACTGTACTCTAGCCTGGGCGACAGAGTGAGAGACCCTGTCTCCAA